CTTGTTTATCCTTCCTTCAAAATTCACCAATTTTAAAGTAAAAACCCCCAATTTTATCCCACAGTTTCTGGGTACCGCTGATAAATATAATAAGGAATCTAGAATTTATGTTTTATTTCCTGTCATTTTTATCTTTATAATTAAGATTTTAATGTCAGTATAATACCTAATGGAACACTATCTGCTCCAGCATTTAAAAAAAATAAGCCTTCAATGGATTTCAAAATTTCCTGAGGTACACAGTTAAAGCACAGAGTAATTAAGCTATATCCTTCCATGGTTCACAAAGAATACAAGGAGAGGGCTAATCCAAAAACATGCATCCATGTCATCAAGATTAAGCTTTTAGGAATACATATTCTTTCAGATGTTGTTTTATTCTAGAGAGTCCTGCAGAGGTGACAAGAGTTCTCTATTCACAGGGACTCACTAGAAAAGTTCATACTAGTGTAATTACTCTGTCTAGATTAAAGGATTCTCCTTCTTGCCTAAGGTTCAAAATACTTACCCGCTTGAGGATGTAGGACTTGGAGACTTTGGGAAGGTTCGGCAATCCCAAAACCCTCTTCAGCTTTTCAAAGAGACCTTTCATTTCATTACGTCGCCGACGTTCATTTGCTGTGTGTGCCTGGCGGTAACGAGCAATGGCTTCTGCCTCAGAATTCATCCTTTTTTTCCAGGTCTGATGTTTCTGCTGGAGAAGTAACCGGATTGACCAGTTTAAACAAAAGTGGCAATGTAACGGCAAACAATGTTCAAAGACATGTGCCATTCGCAACATTTCTACAGACACCTGAAGATTCCATGTCATGCTATCCTGCTACTATGTCTTCACGAAAGTTCAGCATCAGAAGCACAGGCAGTAAGTAATGAAATGCTGACCAAGAAGTGACCAACATCATCACATCAACCCTAAAGGAGAAGATCATGAGTCCCTTATGTTCATAAGCTTTTGTTTTCTGCAATACAAGGCTACTTAGATGAACCACGGGATTACAAAAATCAGCACATGCTTGAGCCAAGTATTTTTTGTCGTTTGCTTGTCAAAAAAGTGTATTAACAAAAGAAATAATCACATCAAATAAAGGAGACTTGAATTTTTTCCCAGAGTTAAACTAGTTTGATTTCCATTTTCTTTCATAGGTTCCTAACGGCTGGGGCCAAGAGACATTGTAAGGAAGAATGTGAAAGACGGCACTGACACTACCCAGACATCCACCAAGAAACACAAAGTCGCAAAGAGGCTCTGGTTTGAATTTGCATATGTTTCTGAGAAGACTGATAGGCAATAAGCATAATTACTAATCTCTACAGATCTGAGTTTGTTATTGCACCATTACTTTTACAGGCTACGTAGAATTACGCTATTTATTTAATGGGCAAGTAATTAACACAGTTCTCTACATAATTTTAGGTCTGCTTCAAACCCCAGATCATCAGTGGAAAGACTCCTCAGGTCCAGTTATACTATTTTCTTGCAGGCAGATTCAAGCACAGTAAGGCTGCGTCTGCTCATGTGTTGGGCATTAGGTTCCTTTCAAGGGAGGGCCTAACAATGTAAATTCAAGGGCAGAGGAGGATCCATGGAGAAGGTGAGGCAGGCAGAGCATCCTGGAACCCATATCCATCTCAGGCAAAGGCACACAGACCAGTCTGCTCTAATATGTAAGACATACACCAGGTTCACACCACACCTCGAAGCCCCACCCCAAGAAGCAGGTAGTTCTAGAGCTGACATCAGTATCTCACAGAGAGTTATCATGGGCAGTTAGTGAAACTGGCTTCAAAGCTGCCCTGAAATACAGCATAAGATTCTGAAGGATTGCAATGAGTTTTGGTTTGAAAGGATTCTGCAGTATCTATAACTTGCCTAAATACATACTGTTTAAATTTTTGTGGTCAAAAATCCTTCACCCAGGGCTGTGCCTACATAATCCTACATACTGTCTTCTTCAACACATGAAAATATTTCCCATTTATTATTTTAAGCATGCTGTAAAAATTATTTATGCCAAGAACACGAAACTTAAGCAAATGTAGTCATAAAAAAAATGCAGATATTCCTCCCCGAAATAAAGCTGAATGCCTGCAGCAGTCCTTCTGCTTTAATGAGATTTGGACTGAGCACCTGTCCCTTATATACACATTTGGTTTCTTGCATTTAATCACAAATATCTGGAAGGCAGATAAATCACATTAAGAGTTGCACTTGAGATGAAAGTTTATCTTTAAAATGGAGGTGTGATACCAAAAGGAAAGAGGAGAGCAAACATATACCTTCGTATCTTTTTCTGATAATGTTTCATCCGAAGAATTACGAGTATGGCATCTGGAAGAAAGGTAAAAAGTTTTTCCCAACACTACTCATCTCATGCACTCTATCCTCATTAACTACATTCCAACAGTCTAGAATTGCTCTGCATGAAAGCAGGATATGCTTGAGCTTTCTCAAGAAAGTGAACTTTATCTCCAATGCCATCATCCGGGAAATAATTGAGCTGTTCTGAAAGTTGTGAAATTAACTCATAGTGCAAAAGACAAACTATATGCCAAAGAGAATAAATTCACCCTGTGACTTAGATGCAGAACATATTTTCTTTATTATGTTTTGGTTCTGTTTTTAAAAAAAACCCAGATACTTAATATAGATGGCAGAGCAATCCCTCCCCCACCAAGAACCACCAATCAAAATCCTCACATTTATTACTATCCTAAAATATAGTAACAACAGCTTCCTCATATCTCAGGAGCTGCAAGAAAACACAGAACAAGACACATTTGAAAATTATTGTATACAAAACATCTGTTTGTCAGCAAAGTCACCACCTAAGGATAAATGTTGAGCTGTATCTTTAAAGGGGGCAAAAAACCTGAAAAACTATCTGGGAGATACATAATATTGTCAAACAGTTTTTTCAAAGTTTCTAAAAAAAACTATTCAAACAAAAAGAACTAAGGATGCAACATTCCCCATTCTTTTGATGCAACTGAGAAACAGCCATGACTATCATTACATACATCAAGCCAGCCATGTTTTCACTTTGCATTTTGTCATTACAAATGCAAGAGCAGCTACAGCAACAAAAACAAACAAGCCAACCAAAAAAATAAAGCCAAGCTATCCAACCATGGCAGACCGTATGTCAGTAAGAAAATACTTTCTTTGCTGGGGTAATGGTCCCAAAGACAAAGCTTTCATTTGCAGGGTGACGGATTAACCCAATGACCGTTCCTGCCTAAAACTAAGTCCACCAGCAAGAATAAACAAAGCTTGCAAAATCACATTTAAAACAAAGACGACCCTGCTCATACTTAGTTTGCAGGAAGGGAGGTGATGGACTCAATAATTTTACATTACAAGATACACATTCCCATAAATAAATTAATGGGGGGGAGGAAATAGCTAAGACACCTTGAAACTAATCTTAGTTCTGACAGCCCCATCCTCACAGACACTGGGAAGCACCAGTGCTCAGGAAGGCCTGACAGAAGCCTTGCTTTATCTTGTCATCACATAAAACCTATTGTTTTAATGGGTTCATTCGATGCCAGCCCATCAATAAATACCAAACTGTGGTGTGCTCTCCAAGGATGCTTACTTCTGTTTGGAAGGTTCGATATAAGCAGCTGTGGCCTTCAGACGGGCAATGTTAATCTTCTCTGAAAGCTCCTCCACGGTCTCAATGTCCACCTGCTCGTCATCCTCACTGTATTCACACGCAGCCTGGAACAGTTTTTGTTTTGGTTTTTTAAAATGAGTATCTACTTAGCAATAGTGCTCAGGCCAAAACAGTTTCACTTCAGTCTCAAATGAGATTACATTACAACATTTAGAACCATTAATGAATCAACATCTCCAGCTACACTGGCCAAGAAACAGTGCTAAGCAGGTGGTTATTTTAACTGCCACCTCTAGGAATTCCTTCCACTTGCAACTCTGTAAAATGAATTTTGCTAAGGGCAAAACCCATCTCTGTCACTTACGCTTTTACAATGGGTGAGATAAAAGCTTTCACAGGGCAGAGCTTTCCTGCTTCCATTTTCAAATAAAATTAAACTGCCCTTAAGACCTATTATTGTAGACTCTTGCTAATTTTTTATAGAAGTTGAGACAGTTATCACCTTAGTAAAGATCTCTCGCACAGTCAGGCTTCTTTGCATCATATAGTGAAGTGCTTACATGATGATTTTGCTTCTTTCCAAAATGGTGCCCATTTATTACTTTAAATATTTATGATATTCTGAAGAGTACTTTTTCTCCATGCTTGCCTGACCAATAAAACTTGCTACCATCTGTGAAGACAGAGGGAGAATAACTGCAGTGCTGTAGCAACTACAACAGTTAATAATCAATCTTGTGGCCATTTGTAGTAACAGGCAATGCACCCCCATGCCAATGCAACCAGTTTTTTTGTATTACAGTTTTTATTGAAGTTTTTTACATTCTGATCTTTGATCCGATTACAGAACAAAGAACTCTTTCTCCTCAAGCAAGAAAACATAAGTATTCATCCAGTTCCCTGAACTATCCCAATCCTGCCCTCCTCTTATTTCCTTCCGACATGCCTTCCTTCTCTTTGTCCTTCTTTCCTTTCCTTTTCTGGAACTGCAATCTCCTTCTCTGAACTGAATACTTACCTGAAATTAATTCAAATAGTTAATAAAAAAAAATCCAACCCAAAACCCAAAAAACACCAAACCCAGCAAAAAAAAGCACCGTGCAACAGTGAATCAGAAAGTGACCTGTATGGGTGACTTCATGGTCACCTGCTCTTCATGGTACTGATTATTTGAAGTTATCTGCAACTCACACTGCTGTTTTTAAGAAACTGTGTTTAGAAGGGAGAGTGTTGAACTTACTCAGGTAACTAGATTAGGCTATGTACAGCACTGCAACAAAAGCAAACAAGACCAGCCTAAATTATCACACAAGTGTAACTAACAAATGGTTAATGATACACATTTCCAATGGTCTGCCATGAATTTTGTACTGCAAAATTTGCAGCTATGTTAAAGAAACTCAATTTATAACCAGAGAGTAAATCTCAGCTTCCTTTTTGGCAGTGAAGGAGAATCTCTAATGACCTAATACAGTTTGATATTGTACTTGGCTTCTTCATACTGACTAAATACAAGCTTTTCTAAACGAGCAAACAAACAAACTCCAAATAAAAACACAACCCTGAAACTAAAAACGCTGAGCAAAGCTATCTAAAATTCAAGGAACACCATAAAAATTGCCACCTTCGGCACTGACACCACAAAGTGATCATTACTGTGAATCGTGCTGCCACAGAAAATTCTCAGGATTTTTTAGATCTTCTGTAAAACACCATCTCCCATGGCTGTGTGATCGAGGCTACAGAAAAATGGGAACAGAATCTGTATGAAAAATTAAGCAAGTTTGCCCTCCTTTCCTAAAGGTTACAGTAGGGATTACAGTCTTTTAAAGTATAGAAATGTATACTTTGCAGCAATGGAGCCTTTGGTGAATTATATAGTGAGGGTATGCATATATACACATGAAAAAGGGAATATATATGGAAAAAAGAGTGCCTGTGCACATAGTACATTTATTTTAGTGCCTACATACATACAGACATGTGTATGCAAGAGTGCCTGTAGAATCTTCCAGTCTTTTAAGAATAATGGAACCATGCAGCATTCTCTCCCCCATCAAATACCCCAAGTCTAACATCACCATCCATTCACATCATGAGAAGTCCTGCAAAGTGCTGGTAGCATAGATTCTGTGTAGAAAAAGGTATAAACTTCTAAACTACTCATTTGCAGAGAAGCTGATACCTCTTCCTGCAAGTATACTGCTGGCACTGGCAGGCACTTAAAGAAGTACAGTCTCTCTCTCCTTACATCAAAGCTCACAGAATCCTTATTTGGTTCATCTTGTAAATATTGCCCCACAAAACATGACTTGTTAGCACTGGGACCACCTGGTGCTAATAGAGCACAGATGAAATGAACTCTCTCTACCAAGAAAGCAGCGCATCGCTCGGAACTTGACGTGTTGGTCACGAAGTACGTATCACCAATGCTCCACAAGCAGGTGAATCAAAGTCAGGAGACATCATGTCCCTGGGACCTTGCTGAGGTCCAACCAAATACTGCTTGCCATCTAGTTCCAGAACACACATACAGGGGATACTGAAAGTGTGACTGAGTTAAGACTACACTGCGTTTCAGCATAGGTATTTCAACACCTTTCAGACACTGTCTGTGAACAGGATGAAGTGTTGTTTCATGTCTGTCAAGTGGCTCTATATGCTTACAGAATCTTAAGAAATCTAAGTTCTACTCTATAAAATCTCCCTTGAAAAATACCACTTATACAAACAGCCAGCAATTTTTCAACAACTCCTCCTCACACTTGCTCCAAGAATTCCTCAGTTGAGGAGAAGAACATAAGCTTGAATCTGAAATTAAAGTCTACTAACTGGTAAGAGTGGAGGGAAGTGAAAACAAAAGAAAACAAGTTGGAAGCTAGGTCCTGCTCTTCAGTCACAACAACCCCAAGCAGCACTACAGGCTTGAGGATTAGTGGCTGGAAAGCTGCTCGGCAGAAAAGGACACAGGAGGGCTGGTCAACATGCTGAATATGAGCCAGCAGTGTGCCCAGGTGGCCAAGAAGGCCAATGACATCCTGGCTTGTATCAGAAAGTGTAGCCAGCAGGACTAGGGCAGTGATCATGCCTGAGCACTCAGCACTGGTGAGGCCACATCTCAGGTACCGTGTCCAGTTTTGGGCCCCATTACAAGAAAGAGATGCTGGAGCGTGTCCAGAGAAGGGCAATAAAGGTGGTGAAGGATCTGGAGCATAAGTTCTATGAGGAGTGTCTGAGGGAGCTGGGAGTGTTTAGCCTGGAGAAAAGGAGGCTGACTCAGGGGGAACCCTATTGCTCTCTAGGACTATCTGAAAGGAGGTTGTGGTGAAATGGGGGTCAGCCTCTGTGCCCAGGCAACTGGCAACAGGACAAGAGAAAATGGCCTCAAGGTGCACCAGATGGTTCAGGTCAGACATCAGGAAGAATTTCTTCATCGAAAAGTTTGTCAAGCATTGCAATGGGCTGCTCAAGGAAGTTTTGGAGTCATCACTGAAAGTACTCAAGAAATGACTGGACATGGCATGTAGTGGTCTAGTGGCCATGGTGGTGTTCAGTCAAAGGTTGGACTCCATGATCTTAGAGGTCTTTTCCAACCTTAATGATTCTGTGATTCTAAGATACCAAAACTGAAATCACCCCCACACCTTCTGTGGAGCTACAACAGGTGATCTAAACATGTAGTGTAGCTGCTTCCACAGCCTTTTTTAATCCTCCCCAGGGTCTGATGAGAGAAGGCAAAGTAAAACCAGAGTTTGAAAAACTAGCTAAACAAAAATCATTCAAATAAAGACACTTATTTAAATCACAGAACTAAGGTACAGATACTTGCCACTATGTTGAAAATACTGCATGTACAAGAGGTCCAGGGCAACATAGTTCTATTTCTTTATACAAAGAAAGGGCACCTCTCATTCTCTCCTGGCATCCCTAAAGCCACCTTGATGTTGAAAGCCTCCAGATACTTTCTCTAAGCTTTTCCACTTTATACAGTATCATTTTTGTGACTTTACATGGAAGAGATGCATACTGTTTTACTTCAGTGGGCAGGACTACTTTGTCTAAACTACATTTGGACATCATTACACTGCAGGGTAAGTGGACATGCAGGGTGGTTCAAACATGCTACAATCCAGAGAGTAAGGAAAAAAAAACTCCAGGAAATTAGCTTTCCATGGAAACACTATCATGGTAAAGCTTTTGAGCACTCCTAAGTTACACTGGACTAATCAAAGAGTTTATAGCCATTATCCAGCTAGAGCTGTTCTCATGCTGGAACTTCCCACACGCTATTGTATTACAAAAACAGTATTCAAAACCTGAAACGTAGCATCTTTTTCATGAAAGATGGGCAAAAAGAATAGAAGTAAAAACTTGGCTGCCCACCAAGAACTTCACATTTTTAAGTTTACACATTCTGAATGTGGACATATGCAAAACAAAAATACATAGTTTTTTCATTCTTACGTCTTAACAACACAGGGAAAAATGCTTCTGGTTGGTAAATCTTTCCTCTCTACCCCTGAATTCCTAACAACAAGGGAAACTATCACAATTGTGAAGACCACCAGGAGTAAGTCCACTTAAGGTCTGACATTAAGAACAGCTATTCCTGCATGACTACTGCCAAACTATCACAGGCTGAACCCCATCCATAGGCTAGCATAATGCTTGAAGATGTTTGTGGAGGCCCTACCTTACTAGTATCAGTCTTTCCAGGCTATTTTCAGTCTGTAGTTACATAACTTCCAAATGCCTTTGGGCTTGTAAGTATAAAATACCTTCAGGAATGAAGACAGATGAGGAGCAATCCCTCACTACAACAGAAGTTCTAAAGTTGTTACAGAAATGACAGCACTTCCCCCAATCTGCATTTCAACACGTGTTTCTAAGTACCCTCCTCTGATTCTTCTCTGTCTGTTCCTGTCAGTCTAAACCTCTACTGCTGCTTCCTAAAGAACGAACTGCCTGATGATAGAGAATCCTCAGTGACAGTGCTGAGAGAGGAGGTTAGATGATAATGGGTTTCGTTAGACATTACCCAAGCAAATACGTAATTACTGGGTCTGTTTTCTATGCTACAATGTCTGTAGGTGTCACACATGGT